CTCTCGCGGCGCCGCGACGACTCATTGTTACGTAACGACTGTCACCCTCCACACGAGCAAGAAAATCGTTCCACCCTCCCCGTTTCCCTTCTCGCCGTGTCCGAGTTCGGTCCGCGCGTGTTCGCCACGGAATATGCTATCATCTCGAACGAAGGGTGAAAAACGACGAAAGGGGCGAGGCGAAGAAGAAGAAATCGGGCGGAAGCGTGAGAATGTTTGTCCTTTAAAGTGCCACTTCCGCGAGTTATGCCGGAAGTTAGCCTTGCGCGACGTGGAAAATTGGGCCCGCCTCGGATGTAACAGGATGTTCCTGTGTAATCCTTTAAAATGTTTTGGGACCAAGCTTTCTGGGATCTCCATTCTGGGATTTCTGCGATCCCTGTGAGTGGATGATCGTTGGAGAAGAGTTTGATCGTCGATGCGTTTGTAATTTTATTTCATATTAATTAAAAGTGATACGAATCTTGAATTTTAGATAAGAGAAATGTATCTGGAGATTTTGAAAAACGAGTGTTTAGAAATCGTATTTAAAAGTGTGTTGAAATTTAAAAGTCAAATTAATTTTAATTTGTCGAACTGTAAAATTGTATCTCTGTTAAATAAAAAAAAATGGAAATTTTTGGATGAAAGATATTTTAAAAGCGATTATTAATTTGAATCTTCGTTTCCAGAAATAAGATACGAAGAAGGCTCGAGAAAGAAAGAAAAGAGCAAAAGAGTCGAGCAAGATGTATAAGTGGAAAGTTTCGAGAGGGAGGGGCATATTGAAAAGTTTTATGATCTATTAAAAGTTTTTCGCGAGTGATAATTACGCGGCATTAATTCAAACCGATTTCTCCGGACGATTCGTCTTCCTCGAATTTTTGAAGGTTACACGAAGCGTTATCCCTTCCCCCTATCTGTTCAATCGATGACCCAAATGCTTTGCGTGTGGGTCGCCGCCAACTCGATGCACAAAAGAATGCTCCTCGTCGAGAGAAGCGACTCTCTTCTCAACCCTTATCTCTCTCGCACGCCTCTTAATTCGTGCTTTACGATCTTATTTGTATCAACAATATCGTTTGTATTTCATTATCTCGATGTCTCGAATCGAGTGTGAAATTATTGAATGGAAAAAACGTTTTCGACGAAGTGATTCGAACTCAAGTTCGTCAAACTTAAAGAAATTTTCTAAAAACTTAAATCGCAAAAAAGACCAATATATTCAAATATATTTTCGATAATATCGGTTTATGTTCATCAAAATTAAATATTTTCGAGGATGCACACAAGCACGGACAACTGACAGCGCACGCACGCATCGTTCGCACATGATCAGTAAGCAAAGGTTGAATCGTTTCATTTTTCCAGCGTAATCGCGATTCTCGAGATAACAGCGTAATGGATATTTACATCAGCAATTTCGCAAATGCGATACTTTGTGTAGCATTGTATACATTTCGCGATAACTAGCTTCCCCGTTTTTATTTGATCCTTTATGCGCGTCACGTATTTTTGCATTGCCAAGCTCGATGTATCGCGGAGCCACCCCTCCCTCCCCCTATTAACGAGGAGGTTCCGTTTTATGGTTTCTCGATTATCCGACCTTCCATTTATTCCACGTATTAAGAATTTATATATATATGTATGTATGATGATGAAACAATCGTTACGATCGAAACGACAATACTCGATCGTTTTATATCCATTGCTGTAATAAGCATCGAGAGCGATATTCAACGAGAATATCTGTACTTGAAGAGGAAGCTATATATATATATATACGAATAAATATTATTTTTATGCAATTTTTCCTTTGTGCAAACAATGCACGTTGTTCGAATTTTTTTCCTTTTCTTTCGTGCGACTAATAAAGTATCGTTTGAATTTCTAATAATAAATAATGATATAAATTTAATTCTAAAGGAATATAGTTACGTATAAGATAAATAAAGTCTAATTTCTAAAGTTTCAAAAGATACGAATCGAAATTATCGACGTTCTTATTACATTACATGATTTGTGCAAACAATAATGTAATCGAATAACAATCGTTAATCGAATTCTTTTTCTTTTTAGTTTTATTAGAAAATACACACGATAATAAACTATCGTTTGAATTTTTGATAAATAAATTTGTTAAAGTCTAATTCCTAAAGTTTCAAAAGAATTTATCGATGTTCCTATTACACGATTGTGTGTTAATCAAATTTTTTTATTAGAAAATATATACGATAATAAAGTATCGTTTGAATTTCTGATAAATAAATAAATAGTAATATAAATTTAATTTTAAAGAAATATATAATTATAGTTACATATAATTAGTATAAGATAAAGTCTGATTTGTTAAAGTCCAAATTCTAAAGAAATTATTACATTACACGATTCGTTCGATTAAATGAAATATTTAAAACATTGCTCGATGGAAAAGAATTGAAAGGAAAAATTTCCAGAAATGTTCATTATCGACGAAACGAAATAACCGACATTCTCACACGCGAAATAACGCTTTTAATCTCGTCACATTCCAACATGACGCGCAAACGTACACAACCGATTCCAGGTAGTGAAGACATCGATAAATCGCGCGTGTCTACTTCAACGATTCGTTCTCCCGACGAATTAATTCGCGACACGCGTATCTCTCTCCGCGGCACGTGGTCGCGATCCGTGCAATCGGACTAATGGATTTCCACGATCCAAATAATTTGAATGATTTTCAACGATTCGTTAATGAAATCGGCAGAATTCGCTCCACAAAGGGATACTTTTTAAGAGATGTCACGAATTTGAATTAAAAAAAGAAGAAGAAAAAAAGAAACAGAAGAAGAAGAAGAAGAAGAGAAGAGCGAAAAACAGATATCTTCGACGTCGACAAATCGGCATTTCTGACAATCGCTACGCGAGATAATCGACTTGTTTGTTACTTTTGCTTACCTATCGATGGCGCCGTACGACGTTATGTAAAAAAAAAATCCTTTGTATTCATTCTGTTGCACGATGGACAATCGTTTATCGATAAATCGGGACGAGGTGAGCTCGCGTTATCGCGAAGAAAGGAGACAGAACTTTTTTTCTTTTAAATAAAAACGGTTTAAACGCAATAAACGATCCTCGTGAAAACGAGAGTTGAAAGAAATTAAACTCTCATCAATCCAAAACTATTTCAACTAATGACAAACGTACATAAATTTAACTCGTGCCATTAAATTCTGCATTCCCGAGAGATCAAAGATATATTTTCTAAAAACATGCTCATCCAGATTAAATACTTAATCAATTATTACACTGTGTCTAATAACGCAATATTTTATCGATTAAAATATAAATCTACACTCAATCTCGAAATAATAATAAGAAGAATTTGCAATAGAAAAGAATGATTAATCTGTGAGGTGCGTGAAGAAGCAAATCGAAATGGACACATACCATCCTTGAAAGGGCCGAATCGCAACAAGCTCATCTCACCAAGCACCGCAAACCGTGGCACGATATCGACGGTATATCAGCAAAACGGTATCATCGGCCGTTATCTCGACACCGTTCACCGATATTCACCCGGACAGGAAAACAGCAGGGTCCACCGATGTCCGGAACGAAGCGTGTCTGTCCACGAACGGTGTCACGCGAAACAGCAAGGCCGACCCTGAACGTTGCCCGGTGAACCGTTCCTCATCGTACGCGATACCGTTCCTCGCTTCGCAACAAGGAAGCGCCCAAGTCTCCTCCGCTCGATCGATTCACCGCACGCCCCGTTGAATATTCACGAAACGATCTCGCAAACAATCGAACAGGATTTGCATCGAGCACCGATTTTATTGCGTATCCCGTCGAGGGAGACGAGGATCTCGTTGTAAACAAGAAATTTTCTTTCTCCTCTCCCAACTTCCTCTTATTCCAAGCATTCGATGTCTGCTTCAGATCGCGCCAAATTGAGCTCGTCGAGGAGAGAAATTCTTTTCACGATCGTGTTCCTTTGTCTTCTCTCGATCGTCTGCCGATCCACGTGGCCTCTCCGACGAGATGGAGCGGAACGAATGTTTCGAGGTGTAATCAATCTCTCTAGCAACGTCTCTCGAGAAACTTCATGGAACAGTAGTTAATGACCACTCGTGACAGATATACGCGTCGAAGGTATGTGTATTCGTTGCAGGTAGTGGACGATTTGTGCAAACTTGCTTAAACGATGACGAGCGTTTCTCGATAAGGATAATCTAGTTTAGGATTAATTGATCGATGAGCATTCATTGATCCGTGACAACAGTTGTTTTTATCCTCGATATTGGAGGAAAGTATCGTTTGTTTGTTTGCACGATGCACTTGAACCGGGTCGCGTGACAGTGCATAGGCCTCGCTGCGAGGCTTCCATCGATCCACCCAACTAATCCGATGTTATATTCCTAACTAACGCGAGTTTATATCGCAAACTGTTCGTAATCACACCTTCGAAACCATACTTATTACGACTATTTAATCTACGTTCTCCGTTCAATCGCTCCACATCGCGTATTTAACGTTGCACGTCGATTTCACCGAATTCCCCTTATGTTCTTCACTTTCGATTCAACAATATTCCAACGGACGACGAAATCTCTCTCTCGGTTACACCTCTCGTAAAAGCAATCCAAATTTGAAGGATAAAAATGGGAGTAGTGGACGATCCATCGATCGAACGAAGGCGCGTTCCCTTTAACTCGTGGAAAAATTGTGGAGAAACCGCGCACGGCCCGTCTTCGTCAACGGTATCCGATATACTGGAGAGCTGTTTACATCGTTGAAGAACGTGGCCACCGCACCTTGCCGGGCTTCCGTCACCTCAATTATACCGACACCACGCCGATCCACCCGTGAACTATCCCCTACGCGGGAAGGAAAGGTAGAAGGCAGAAGCTTTGTGACCAACCGAGCGGCGGTTGATTGGCAGCGAGCGAGCCGGCCATGGTGTGTCGTGGTAGTACGTGGCCGAGAATAGACTGGTATCGATGGCACAACCTATAGGGATCGAACCGACGCAAATAGGCCGTGGGACCCGCGGACGGAGCCGCGGGGAGGAAGAAGGTCGTGGGATCTCGATCGTGGCGATCGATCCGATCGC